TTACCATGTTGCTCAACTACCATTGGCATGCTTCTGGCGATCATTGTAGCACCATCCGGACGATCGTCACACCTCGATACCTTTTCTAGAAATCACAATCCCAACGTTCCACTGGATCAGCGTGCGAATGACTTCCTATGGGAAACAGGGCTTAACAGATTATGGCCCCAGATACCACTCTTAATTCGGTTCAACCGCCTTCACCTGAAGTTGAACTGGTATCTTGTGATCTGACCTGTGGAGTGTTAACCACTACACTATGGACCTACAGGTCGAAATTTCATATTCAATTTAATTATATTAATTGTCAATTTTTATAGGATATAAATCAAATCCAGAATATTTTCATTTTGTTTATAAAAATAACATGAAATTGTATCAATTTCCAACTTTTATAGGAAGTAGGTAAATCCTGATATTTTTATATGTTTTGTAAAACCATATAAGATTAAAGTTAATTATATTAATTGTCAACTTTATAGAGAGTAAGTTGAATGTATGAAATATTTATTATTTATTTGTAAAATAAGAAAAATTGAGATCCAATCATATTATATTATTTATTATTGTAGATTATAAGCTAATCCAGATGATTATATATTTCACAAAATCATAAAAGAAAATTTAAAGTATTAGTCATTAATTTTTATAAGGGATAAGTTAAATTGAATTTATTTTTGTTATTTTTTGTTTTTACCTTCACTATTATAGATTGTAAGTTGATTTCTGAATATTTTATTATTTACTAGTAAAATCATAAAATTTCAATTGTATTATTATTATTATTTACATATAGATTGTAAGTTAAATCTAGGTTATTATGTTATATGGAATTACAGTAGATTTAATTGTATTTTTAATCTATGTAATTATAAACAGTAAGTTAGATCTAGGTTATTTTTGTTATTGTTTTGTAAATAATATATAATAAGATTTAATTATAATTTTATTTTTTTATATTAAATAGTTGAATAAAAAATTAATCAACTTTTATAGAGTGCAGGTTGTGTTCAATATATTTTTGCTATTTGTTTATAAATTTATAAATTATATTAAATAAGATTTTATTATATTTTTATTCTTTACTGTTGTAAATCGTAAGTTGGATTCATTATATTTTTATTTGTTTATAAAATCTACATTACAGTGTATCAATCAATTATTACCTCGTAAGTTTATATTAATTAAGATTAAAATATATTCTTATTTTTTATTATCGTAGATTGTAAGCTGAACTCGGGATATTTATTATTTGTTTTGCAAAATAATATAGATGAAATTTATGTAATTATCAATCAACTTTTTAGGGGGTAGGTTAAATCAAAGGTATTTTTATTATTTGTTTCATAATCACATAAATGTTGATCTTATTATTTGCTATTGTAGTTTGTAAGCTTAATGCAGAATAGTTTCATTTTTTTTTGTTAAGTCTTAATTATATTATTATTAACTGTTGCAGATTATAAGTTAAATTCAATATATATTATATGATTTAATTATAAATTACACAAATAAGATTAATTAGTATTACTATTCATTATTAAGATTGTAAGCTGAGTTCTGTGAGGAAATTAAGGTGAAAAAATTAGTGTGGGAAAGTTTAATGACAGAAATTTCTAGAGTAGTATAGAATAGCGATCAGATGTAAACATGTAAATAACAAGCGCATGTAGACGATTTAGAAGAGAATTTAGTTTATAGTTAGTAATGCCTAAGTAATAAACAATAAAATAACATTTGATGGATAAACTCTTATCTTGTGTTTAGTGGGCCAAAGTAGACTTGTAACTTGGGCTACGCGACTACAAGAGAGAACTGAGAGTTGCCTAAAGGAATTGACATTGGAAGGATTCTAGGCTAGTCAGTAGAGAAATTAAAGTGAGAGAATGGTCAAATTGGAAATACGTCTCAAGAGTTAAAGAAACTTACCTTATTGTGAACAGAAGAAGTGACAAGTAATGTGTGCTTGCTGGAGAGCTCATAACATTTGGTGGTAAACTGTGAGATTCGAACATCAACAAATTAAGATTTGGATATCAACAAACTGAAAACAACATTTGTTTACACTCCTTGATAAATTATAAACGTATTAATTTACATTGATCAATAAACGCAATTAATAAACTAAACCTTAATCATACACTTACCTTTTTTGAAGAAACTCGTAATAAGTCAGTGATATCTAATTATTAATGTGGAATAAATATGACATCCTTCAAGAACTAGTGAGAATGTTAACCAGCTTGAAGAAAGAAAAGACTCAACTGGTTGGAATGAACAATTTCAGTGAAAAGAAAGGTGAAGATCTGTATTCCTGGCTAAATTCGTACGAAAAAGCTACGGAAACCAATAGTTGGATGAATGTCCAAAAACTAAGACATGTAATGGATTACCTAAAGGGACGTGCAGCAGACTGATACGAAGTTTGCCAGGATCGCCTTAAGCATTGAAACTATAGGTGCGACCATAGGGAAAGCTTTGTGCCAGCCTTCCTCCGATACTTGAGCAGCAACGGCAGTGGCTATCAGAGCTTGCGAAACTAAAGCAGGGTAAGGATGAGGAAGTTGCAACCTATGCCCAACAATTTCAGGACCTACTGAGAAAAGTTGACCCCGACAATGGTATATCTGGAAGGGATGAGGTGAGAGCATTCGTAGAAGAGTTGAGAAATGAGATTGCATCAACGCTTGTCATCAAAAACGACGTCATGTTAGATGAAGTAATAGATGGCACGAAGTGGATCGAAAAGGAGATGGAGTTTGGGTTGGAGACGAGCTCGAAGCCAACAGAGGAACAAGGACCAACAATGATTGAGAATAAGGCCAAAATTTGCAAAGTAGGATCCCGGGAAGGTCGAAATACTTACTCAACAAGGATGAGAATAACGACACACTTCACCCATCGGAAATATGCGACTACCATCCTTCAAATTTGACAACGGAAAACAAGGTACAGGTGGCAAAACAACAAATGACAACGAAGAAACCAGCTAAGCCCAAGCTACAAACAAACTTAACTCGAAGCCTATAAAATAAAAAATGAAACAAAGGGAGAATCGTCAATATTATCAAAAGAAAGCAAAAGAGAGGCAGCAGAAAAAAATCTACGAAGGACAGGATGAAAGGGGAAGCAGATGAGTTAACAAAGGTGATAATAGTGAGGAAGCAGAAGGAGACAAACAAGGGAGAGTCGTATCTGGATGGTGTGATTCCTATTGCATACTGTCTTCCGAGGAAGAAACTTTCAAAGCATCTTGACGAAAAATTGAAAAGGACGAGAAAAGAATGATGAAACACTGCATTGCAGAATCAATCATGTATTTATTATGACTAGAAAAATCGTTGATGCCATCAAGAAAAAGTGAAAAGGTGGTGACAGAAGCCGGATCTACAGAGGACAAGACGGAAAAGCAGGTAGATAAGTCAATGAAGATGATAGTGGTGAAGAAATGGAAGGAAACAAACAAAGGATGACCACAACCGAATGACGTAAACCACAATCAAACGACGTAAACCACAATCAAACGATGTGAACCACAATCAAATGACACAAACTACAATTGAACGACACGAACCACATCGCATGCCCATTATCAAGAAAGAAACTGCAAAAGCCACCCGAGAAAAAACTAGTGAAGGAGACGAGACACACGGAGATTTAGTGATAATATCCTGGCCAGATGAAGCGAAGACATGGTTGACCAAGATGCGAGGGAGTTAATCAAAGGAGGAATAACACGGGTCACCATTAAGAGTGACAAGATGGATAAATAATACAACTTATCTGTATTACATCAACAACTCAGATATACTTTGTCGCGATCTTGTGGTGAAGCTTGACGTCAAACTATCATCCAAGGAAAAGGTCAAAGAAATCAAAGTTTCCCGTTCATGTGACACCGATGAGATTTCATAATCGACACACTACCACCAACTGGTAGTACGAACCAGAAGATTAGGATCAGTCTTATGCACAATGCGTATAAGATAAGTGCAGGAGAAATGTTATGGGCAAAATCGGCACAGGCATGCAACGCGAATTCATGTTACGTCATTCTATTTTCGTAATTTGTGACAATTTAGAAAAGTTTAGTTTAAAGTTAATAACGCCTAAGTAATAAACAATAAAGTAACATCTGACAGATAAACTCTTAGCTTATGTTTAGTGTGCCAAGATAGACTTGTAACTTGGGCTACGCGACTACAAGAGAGAACCGAGAGTTGCCTAAGGAAATTGAAATTGGAAGAATTCTAGGTTAGTCGGTAGAAAAGTTAAAGTGAGAGAATGACCAAATCAGAAATACGTCTCAAGAGTTAAAGAAACTTATCTTATTGTGAACAGAAGCAGCAACAAGTAGTGTAAGCTTGCCGGAGAGCCTATGACACTATTTACTATATTCTCCAAAATAAAAATTAGAAAGTATTTGTTATAAATAAATTTATACTTGCAAATAAATTCTTACCTGACCTACCTGTATCCACTCTCCATCCCTAACCTCCCACCAACCGTACCTACAAAATCTGTTAGTATATAAAAATAAAAATCCTACCTGCGACCTACCTGTACCCACCCTCTATCCCTAACCTCCCACCAACCGTATCTACAAAATCTGTTAGTATATAAAATAAAAATCATATCTGCCACCTACCTGCGATCCACCCTCCATTCCTAACCTCCCACCAACCATATCTACAAAATCTGTTAGTATATAAAAGAAAAATCCTACTTCGACCATACCTACAAAATCTGTTAGTATATAAAATAAAAATTCTACCTCAACTGTACCTATAAAATCTGTTGGTATATAAAATAAAAATCCTACCTCAACCGTATCTACAAAATCTGTTAGTATATAAAAATAAAAATCTTACCTCAACTGTACCTACAAAATCTGTTAGTATATAAAAATAAAAATTCTACCTGCAACCTACCTGTACCCACTTTCCATCCCTAACCTCTCACCAACCATACCTACAAAATCTGTTAGTATATAAAAATAAAAATCTTATCTCAACCGTATCTACAAAATCTGTTAATATATAAAATAAAAATCCTACCTCAACCATACCTACAAAATCTGTTAGTATATAAAATAAAAATCCTATCTCAACTGTACCTACAAAATCTGTTAGTATATAAAAATAAAAATCCTATCTCAACTGTACCTACAAAATCTGTTAGTATATAAAATAAAATCCTACCTGCGACTTACCTATACCCACCCTCCATCTCTAACCTCCCATCAACCATACCTATAAAATCTATTAGTATATAAAATAAAAATTCTACCTGCGACTTATCTGTACCCACTCTCTCGCCAAATCAACTTTAATATCTTTTCGGCTTCTCAGAGGATAAAAATCGTAATATGGCACCAGTCATATAACTAATAGTCACAATAGTGCCATGAAGGACCCATTCCTATCATGGTACTTGAGGTGATAAAATAGAAGAAAATGATGGGAAATGGTTAAAATAGTAGTAAAATAGTATATTAGAAAGTTAGATAATAAGGGAAGGATCGTAAAAATGATTAATATAATTAGGGAGAATCATAAAAAGACAATCGATGTTACTATATTTTTCAGAATGTAAAAACTGTCACAACTAAAATGTATAAAAAGATAAAAGTGAAAGTAAATAAAAGGAGTGAATTATCTTTTACTCTGTCAAATCGAACATGCCTTAAACTTCATAAAATCTCTTACCACATCGATGGTTATGTAACATCTACCCCATTTTAGCGACAGACTCCGATCAATCATCACAAATTTGGTGGTGACTGATATTTGACGCTTCATTACTCCACCCCAATATTTTTACATGAACACCTTTTTAACATTTTTCCGACCCCTATAAAGAAAAAAAAAACATTAAAGACTAACAAAATCCTTTATTTACCACCCGACTTTATAATTTTTACTTTTCTTTTACTTACCCTATCCTTTTAGACACCTACACAGCAGTTAGAGAAGAAGAACGATCCAACTTAACAAAGGCGCAACAAGAGAAACTGACAATAAAGACTTAAAATAATATTAATATCCCGAAATAGTTATAAACAAACATACCCATGCGACACCCATAACAATCTTTAAATGGCAATAAATTTCCAAATGGGTGGCGATGTAACTACCAGACTTCTCCAGTGGCTAGATATCTTGCAAGTGCTAGCATATACTTTTGGCGATGTAGGAAATCCAAAAGTTAGGGAGCCAAAAGAAAGGATAGAAGTCGACCAAGTTAGATTGTCTTCCTTTGAGGGTAAAGTCAGAAAAAACTCCCAATAATAATTAAAATGCTATAAGAAGGTTGCCGAATCCAACGGTTGATCAGAAAAAAAGAAGTTAAAAGAAATAGGTAATTATCTGGAAGATATAGTGAAAGAATGGTACAAGGATAATCGCGACCAGTTTGTCTATTGGAATGAGTGTAACGATGAAAGAAGCTTTGTGCCGACCTTCCTATGGCATTTCATATTGCTGAAGCAATGGTACTGATGGCAATCGGAATTAAAGAATTTCGAGTAGAGGAAGGATGAAGCAATAACTAAGTACATTCAAAGGTTTGGAAGCTACTTAAGAAGCTTTATCCTAAAAACGATTATTCTAAAGAAGTAGCAAGATGGTTGCTCATAGTCAGACTGAGGAACAACATATTGTAGTTGCCCACTGTTAGAAACACGTTTACACCAAAAAGCGGCACTTAGGGAACCTACGACACCGAGGATTGTTTAGGAAAGAAAAATTGTTCCCAAAGGTCACCATGGATAGATGGAGTACAACTCAGAAAGGATAGAGGGGAGCTAGAACATCCATTACACACCAAGAGTGACAACGAGATATCCTGACCCATGAAATAAGAATGTGCCCACAGAAGAAACTACAGATGATTACCTAAACAAGATCCAGGAAGGAGACTCTAGCGGAATTACCAGACGAAGCATCAAGACCCACCTACGACGAAGCCCTGATGAACATTAATGCCGGAATGCTAAATCAAGAGGATGGTGATATGATGACAAAATAAACGAATGGGACACTAGAACTCGCCAACAAGATATCAACTGCTCAAAAGGATACAGGCAAATACCTAGGAGAAACAATGGAATATTTTGGTGATGACAAAGCTGTATCAAATCAAGTTGGTATGGGAAAGGATGATATAAACAAAATAGTGGGCCAATCAGAAGAAACTGACAGAATAGTTACGCAATAAGAAACTAACCAGAAGGTATGTTCCACGTGACGAAACGAAAAATGAACCAAAAATAAAAGAGAAACCAATAGCGACTCACAAACGAAACGAAGAATGTTTCGAAGAAAGAGAAATGTGACCGGAAGATGAGCCACGACAATACACCAATAAAAAACCATAAAAGGGACGAATGCTTAGAAGAGGAGATCACATTCGTATACGATAACCTGCCCAACGAACCCTTCAGCACAAGAAAACGACAGCCCATCACGATCCAGGAGAAGAATACAAACTCATACGCAGGAACCTGATAGGCATAAGCATGAAAGAGGAAGAATCAGCACAAATAACGAGTGACAGGAAGAATGACAAGAGCATAAGCTGCAGCGACACCCCTTTAGAAGCCCTAAACTCATAAAGAAAATGATGACCGGTCACCCAAATGAGAATCTGAAGGAATGCCTTGACAATGACGAAATTCTAAAGACCAAAAATAATAAGAGCAACAACAGTAAAGAGGAAGATAATGCTGGAGGATGCTCGAAGGTGAAAAAAAGACAACACTTATGTGAGCTGACCCATGTGACGAACCCTTCAGCACAAGAAAATGATCAACCATTACAGATAATTGAAACCAATGAGGAGGATATAGCATTACACGAAACAACTTCGCGGACAATGAACCAGACCCTGGAGATACTCAACCGGATATAAAAGAAATAAGCTTTTTAGGAAATGCCAAATTCAGAGATGGTGGTGACGAAAGATGCAAAATAAGGACCAAGAAACAGTGACAATGTACCTGTAGAAAATCGTGCTGACATTGATACATGCACATAAGTCAAGACCCGAACAGTACCAATGATATGTCACCTGCCTTCCTAAGCTAGTTGATTGAGAGATCCTATCAGGTGGAAATAAAGAAGGCAGCAAAGTTACGCCAATGACACAATCACCATAAAAGCCACACTGTATCAATATTTAATCATAAGTTTTACGGAGGTCACTCGCCCGATGAGCTGTGAGATCAAACACAAATGGAGAAATAAGATGATAACCTTTGATTGACAACCGGCATTTGCTGACAGACCATCACAATCGATCTACCTAACTAAAAACTCTAGTGCAGGAGAAGTAAAAATCGTAACGCGACTCTGGTCACGTGACTAATGGTCGCGATAGTGCCGTGAAGGACCTATTCCTATAATAGTACTTCTAAATAAAAACTGTCCCAACTAAAATATATAAAAAGATAAAAGCAAAAGTAAATAAAGGGCAGTAAGTTACAAAGCCAAATCAAACACACCTTAAATTTCATAAAAACCCTTACCTCATCGATGGTTATGCTGAACGACTATCACAGTATAAAACATGTACAGCGCATATCTTTTTGGCTTCATATATTGAGTCTTTTACTTATATTTCGGTTGGCTCTACATACAAAACATATGAAAAACATATAGCACATATCTTCTTGGCTTCACCTGTTAAGTTCCCTTGCTTATATTTCAGTTGGCTCCATGTACAAAATGTATAAAATACATATAGCGCATATTTTCTTGGATTCACCTATTAAGTCCCTTTGCTTATATTTCGGTTGGATCCATGTACAAAACATATGAAAAACATATAGCACATATCTTCTTGGCTTCACCTGTTAAGTTCTCTTGCTTATATTTCAGTTGGTTCCACGTACGAAACGTATGAAATACATACAGCGCATATCTTCTTGGCTTCACCTATTAAGTTCCTTTGCTTATATTTCGGTTAACTCCACATACAAAACATATGAAATACGTATAGTGCATATTGGCTTCACCTACAAAAAGTACAAGCAAATCTTCACAAAAAAATCGAAATTTATGACGCATACAAAATTATGTCATAATTATAATATATACAATACTGTATATGGTAATTGATTGATCAAAGCAATTTCCACAGGTTTTGTTGACAATCAATCCAAAATACTACAATATTAAATGGATCAAACGATCAGAACTGACCATTCGGAACACTATAGTATATAAGGAATGTAATTATAAATACTTATTTATTTATATAAATTTAACAATACAAATAAAGCACTACTTAGAGTATTATAGCATTTTGACTTAAAGAATCCAAACCTTTCACGTTCTGAATATATGCTTTAGAAACCCATAACATATTTTGACAGGATGTTTATTTAAAGTGACTTGAGATATTTGATTATCTATTCTTTTTACATGATATTATCATAACAACCTGTTAATAAAAGGTCACCCACTTTTGTATTCTTCCAATCAAGAATAATAACTGCTCTGTAAAAATATATAATAGCTATGCAGTTACTAGATATCGTAGACCACAGCTGTACCATATTTTCATATATGCCCAATGTCAGTTGAGTGCCATCAGGTGAGGTCACACTTCAAATGGTATCAGTATGTCCTTCGAAAGTATGTATCTTTTCTAACATTTCGACATTACGAAGAAAAATTTTCTTTTCACTAGCAATGACAAGAAGACATCTGTCTGGGGAATAGTAATGGCAATGGCAAATGTTCTTAAGATCTAAAAAAGGAAATTTACTGAATTGCAGATCTGTCATAAAATTGCATATTGTAACCATGCTTCTTTAAATTGTGTATATTGAAATAAATCGTAACTTAAATTCACACCGCCAATATGAATGCCACATAAATTTTTATTACTAAATAACATTTCAGCTTTATTCCAACTTGTTATTGAATTTGATGTGGTGATTTAGAAACCAGTGTCTTCTTTTGATTACTTGATAAGATTAAGGAGATTGGCTTTAAATTTACTAGTTCACTGTGTGTATTTTGAATCTCCATCATTTTGTGTGTATTCTGTTTGAAAGTGAACAACCTTGGGATCACCTAGTATAATATACAGTAGTAATTATTTCTAGCAAAAAAAAATTTATCATGTGACAAGGAATTTAGATATATAAAAAACAGGTACTGTACCTATGTTAGAAATGCTATTAGTTTATATGTATATACAGTAATCCGAATATTCTTTTTTCATATATAATTATTATATTATATCTGAATTTTGATACCTTTATTAAAAAGAATAAGTTATTCTTTTAATATTCGAATATATCTGAATTTTATAAAATCAGATCCAAGCCCTAGATTAAAGAACCTATTGAATATTGTAAATGACACATTAAAAATGACGCACATTTTAATATGTCTTTTTGATTGTAATAACAAAATCTTGACACTTGTTTTACACTCCATTCTATCTTTTATGGCCGAAAATCCAATTACAACAATCGTATAATTGAACACCATGGTAAAACGGTGACTTTTGTAATATGAATTTACTCATTGTTACATCACTTTCCTGTATATTTGCTTTTTTTTTGGAGGGTTTTCTCCAGTAAGTAAACATTATTTCTTTATTTAATTTGTATATATAAAGGTATACATCATGAAAGAAACAACATCTCTTACTTACAAAATATAAAAAGTTAAATGCTAGCTTACCCACTGTTACACTTGATCTTCACCCAAGATCATCACTACCCCTTGCCTGATTTCTACTAGCATTTACCCTTGAAATGTTATCCATTCTAGAATAATTCTTGTATTACTATCTTTGTTATTGTTTAGCACTATACTTTTTGTGCTAATGTTGCTCTAG